CTATCAAACATAGATTTCAAAATAATGGTTATAAAGATGTTCAGGGAGCTCAGTGAGAACTACAAAAAACAAAACAAAACAAAACAAAACAAAAAACACTTCAGGGAAGCTACAAGGAACTTACGGCAAACTACACCAGGATGAAAAAGGACATCAAAACCATCAATAAGAGACAGAAAGAAATGAAAAATACAATATCTGAAATGAAGAACTCAGTAGAAGGAATGAAAAGCAGGTTAGATAAAGCAGAGAATCGAATCAGTGAGCTGAAGAACAAGGTAGAAAAAAATTCCCAGATGGAGCAACAAAATGAAAAAAGACTCAAAAAGAATGAAGAGGGGTTAAGGGAGCTGCAGGGCAACATGAAACGTAATAATATTCATATAATTACCAAAAGGAGAAAAAGAGAAGCAAGGGATAGAAAACCTGTTTGAAAAGTAATTACAGAATACTCCTCCCTAACTTGGTGAGAGAAAAAGTCATGCAAGTCCAGGAAGCACAGATGGTCTTGATCAAGATGAACCCAAAGAGGCCCACTCCAAGACATATCAAAATTAAAATGACAAAATTCAAAGACAAAGATTCTTAAAGGCAGTAAGGGAGAAATAAACAGTGACATATAAAGGAGGTCTGATAAGGTTATTGGATGACTTCTCAACAGAAACACTATAAGGCAAAAGGGAATGGCAAGAAATATTCCAAGTAATAAAAAGCAAAGGCCTGCAACCAAGACTACTGTACCCAGCAAAGCTCTCATTTAAAATGGGGGACTAAGCCCTGGCTGGTATAGCTCAGTGAACTGAGCACAGGCCTATGAACCAAAGTGTTGCTGGTTTAATTTCCTGTCAGGGCACATGCCTGGGTTACAGTCCAGGTCCCCAGTAGTGGGTATGTGAGAGGTAATGGTACATTGAGTTTCTCTCCCTCTCTTTCACCTTCCCTTCCCCTTTCTCTAAAAATAAATAAATAAGTAAAATATTTTAAAAATTAAATAAAATAGGGCACTAAATAAGGAGTTTACCAGACAAAAGAGGCTAAAAGAATACATCTCCACCAAACCAGCATTGTAAGACATATTAAAGGGACTGCTTTAAGAAAATGAAGAAAAAGAGAGAGGAACAGAGGACAAAGGGAAACATGGCAATGAATAAGTATCTATCAATGATAATCTTAAATGTAAATGGATTAAATGCTCCAATCAAAAGATAAGAATGGAAAAAGAAGCATAACCTGCATATTTGCTATCTACAAGAGACCCACCTCAAAACAAAAGATCTGCACAGACTGAAGGTGAAAGGATGGGGAAAAATTCCAAGCAAATGGACATGAAAAAAAAAAGGCCTGGGTAACAATACAGTCAGACAAAATAGATTTCAAAACACAGTTCATAAAAGGAGACAGAGAAGGACAACAATTCATAATACTAAGGGAAGAATCCAACAAGAAGATATAACCATTGTAAATATATATGCACCCAACATACGAGCACCCAAATATGTGAGTAAAGTCTGAAGACTTCAAGAAAGATATAGGCAGCAACACATTTATAGTAGGGGATTTTAATACCCCACTGTCAACAATGGGTAGATCTTCCAAAGAATATTGTGGCACTGAACAAAACTCTAGATCAATTGGACTTAATTGATATATACAGAACCTTTCATCCCAAAGAGGCAAAATATATATTCTTTTCAAATGCACATGGAACATTTCCAAAGATAGACCACATGGTAAGACACAAAACAATCCTCAACAAATTCAAGAAAATTGAAACCATATCAAGCATTTTCTCAGATCTCAATGGCCTGAAACTAGAGACCAACCTCAAGGAAAAAAACTCAAAACACTCAAATTCATGGAGACTGAATAACATACTGTTAAATAATGAATGGGTCAACAAAGAGATCAAAGAGGAAATCAAAAAGTTTCTGGAAACAAATGAAAATGAACACACAACAGCAAAGGCAGTTCTGAAAGAGAAGCTTATAGCAATACAGGCCTACCTAAAAGAGAGAAAAATTTCAAATAAACAGTGTAACCCTACATCTACAAGAACTAGAAGAACAACAACAAACAAAGCCCACAGCAAGTGGAAGGAAGGAAATAACCAAGATCAGAGCAGATTTAAATGATATAAAGACTAAAAGAACAACTCAAAGGATCAATAAACCCAGGAGCTGGTTCTTTGAAAAGATAAACAATATTGACAAGCCTTTAACCAGAGAGTCGTCAATAAAAAGTGAAAGAGGACCCAAGTAAATAAAATCAGAAATGAAAGAGGAGAAGTTACAACCAATACCACAGAAATACAACAGATTGTCAGAAAGCGCTATGAACAACTATATGTCAAGAAATTTGACAACTGGGATGAAATGGAAAAGTTTCTATGAACAAATAATCTTCCAAAACTGATTCAAGAAGAAGCAGAAAGCCTGAATAGATCTATAACAGCTAGTGAAATTGAAGCAATAATAAAAAAAACTCCAGTCACACAAAAGCCCTGGACCAGACAGCTTCACAGGTGAATTTACCAAACATTTAGGGAAAAGCTAACTCCTATCCTTCTCAAACTCTTCCAAAAAATTCAAGAAAAGACTCCTGAACTCTTTTTAAGAGGCCAGTGTTATCCTAATTCCAAAAAAAACAGGTAAAGACACAACAAAGAAAGAAAACCACAGGCCAATATTGGTGATAAATATTGATGCTAAAATCCTCAACAAAATATTGGCAAACCTAATCCAGCAATACATTAAAAAGGTTATACCCCACGATCAAGTGTGATTCATCACTGTTCATAGCAGCATTATTTACAATAGCCAAATGCTGGAAACAACCTAAATACCCATCAATAAATGAGTGGATCAAAAAACTGTGGTACATTTATATAATAGAATACTATGCAGCAGAAAGAAAGAACTCCTACCCTTTGTAACAGCATGGAAGGAACTGGAAAACATTATGCTAAATGAAATAAGTAAGGCGGAAAAAGACAAATACCATATTACCTCACCTATAAGTGGAACCCAATGAACAAAACAAATGAGCAAAGTAGAACAAGAAACATGGAAATAAACAGCAAACTGACAGAGCAGAAGGGAGAGGGATAACAAGAGAAAGGAGGGGAAGGGTCTAGTCAAGGAACATGTATAAAGGACCCATGGACAAGGACAATGGGGTTGGGGTTGACTGTGGGAGCAAGGGGTGGGCAGAGCAAGGGAGAGCAATGGGGAGAAATTTGGGGCAACTGTAATTGAACAACAATAAAAAAAGAAAAATACTTCTTTTAATTGAATAAAATATTTAAGTAACACTTGAATATTTTATTTTAACACAGGGTTTTACATTTTAAATGGAAATATTTTATCTGATTCATAAAGTTTGAGTAGGAATTAACAGGGTAGAAGAAGGAAAGGGGCATTCTAGGTGGAAGGGAAAAGAAGCAGAGGCTCAGAGATGAGAAATAGGACAAACTCTTCAGGATCTATAAGTGGTGCTGTGGGGCTTGCATTTCACTTGGAGGTTGAGGGCTGATTGTCAACTTCACATTATTATGCTTCCCTGCCTCTCATGGGGTATCTGAGCCTTTGCCTCCTGATTTAGAGCCTTACTTTAGCTGTTCCTTCCATCAAAATCTAATTGCACCACAATTTTTTAATGTTTATTCTATGTTTTGTTTGTTTTTGTCTCTCTTTTTTCTTCATGTTGGTGGGCATGGGAGTGGGGGAGGATGGAGACTGATGAATTAAATTCCCATCTGACTCACAGGCTATATAATACAAACCCTTAGATACACATCTTTTCATTCTCAGGATAAAGGCCTTCCATCTTTAGTGGTGAGGCCCCAAGCCTTTCTGAAGTTGAACCTGGGAATTTGAATTTTTAACAAGCTCCTCCAAGTAATCCTGTGGTACAGTCAGAGTGGGAGCCATAGCCCTAGTGCCCAATGCTGATCTGAAGTGAAGTTCAGAGAATGATAGTCAACACTTCCACAGCAGTAACAAAATGCCAAGCACTGCTCAAAGTGCTTTACTTGCAGTGACTAATTTAACCCTTACAGAGACCCTACAAAGTGAGCATTCCATTATTTCCATTGTAGAAATAAGGAAACTAAGACAGAGTCCACATGCCGTGCCCAAGGCACACAGCTACTCAGTGGCAGAGTTTGGACAAAGCTAATCTTAATCCAGGTGCTAGATCTCTTCCCTAAATAGCCAAGACCATTCGGCAATGTGCCAAAGAGTACATGCTGTGCTGCCATACCAGGGGTGTGCTGGTGAATGCTTTACAGCTGGCTCACTGAAGGCAGGAGGCAGGATTTGTAGCACTTGCTGGTTTCTATGAGCCAGCTGTCACTGATCACAGAACTGAGAAGAAATGCACACAATGGGCTGTGACAATCCAGCTGCAGTTCACCACCAGACACAGCCATCCCTCACTTGTGACTGCCAGTGTCTGCCACGACAGCAAATGCCATCATGCAGATGCAGACCAGTGGCTGCAGAAGAACAGAGAAGGGAAATCTATACTCTAAAACAACAGGAGTATCTAGAGGCTTTGGAAATCTAAAATTAGGCTCTGGGTTAGGATCACAAGAGAGCCCAAGAATTCTATTTTGGGACTTGGACAACATGTCACAGATCCAGCAGCCACCTGGGGCATGAAGTCAAGGATAGGAGCCTTGAAGGCCTTCCTGCCCCCAAATATCCTTCTCAGTGATCTCCCCAAAAGTAATTTCCTTTACCTCAGCTACCTCCTCCCTTCTCTTTTGTCCAACTACAGGTCAAATACAGGTCTGCAAATTCTTAGAAAGCATTTTCTTCTCTGCCACCCTACTGACTAGTTGGAATCTGGTCAGTAGGAAGACCTTCACATGGTCTCGTATGTGTCCTAGGGCTAACTGGGAGGACCTGTGGAGAGCTTTGCACATCACCTCTGTGCTGGGTTTGGAAACTCGGGTGAGGGACAAGATGCATGGTGATTTTTTATGCTGCCTATTTCAGGAACCAGCAGTGCTTCTATGGGGTCAACCTGTCCAGTCTCCGGGGTGCTGCAGTGGATGAATACTTCAGACAGCCAATAGTAGTAAGTGCGTCCTCTACAGGCTTTCTCCCTATGTGTTTATCTGTTGATTTATTCACTCACTCACTCATGAGCATGCAATACACTGTGCTCCCAGGCTTTGTGCTATCACAGAAGAGCTCTGTGTTTTCAAGTCTAAAAGTCTCAGATTGATGCTGTTGAAAGCAAGGAGATTTGAGGACTGCCTTTCAGTAAGAAACTTCTAATTCTCCTACTGCTCAGCCCCACCCCCTGCACACACTTGGCCCTCATACTTGTTCAATACTTCACATCCTTTCATTGATTCTAGTGGTCCAAGGCATAATTGAAGAGGAAGCATTGTGAATAAATAGCTTAGAACAAAAGCTTTGCTGTTGAACAGATTCAGGTTTCAGTTGTGTCCCTATCTAGCTGTGTAACCTAAGACAACTTTAAGTTTGGATCATCTGAAACTCAGTTGTAAGTGGAAGGAAAGCCAACTCTAATGGTTTAAGCTAAAATGGAATTACTGGCCTTGAAGAATGCAAAGCTTCAAGATAGTGCTTTCTTTAGGGACCAGCTGTAGTTCAGACAGTGTCACTGGAATCTGATTTTTCTATCCTCATCACTTATCTCCATTTCCTCTGATTGAAGTCTGTTCCTAGGGAAGATCCCCACTCAGGGCAGTAAGATGACTGCAGAAACTCCAGGCTTAAGTTTTTAGATCTCTAAGTCCCAAGGAAGAGCCTGCCTTTTTCTGATAACTTGGGCAAAAGCCCCAGAATGAGTTTAGATAAAAACGTGATTGTCCAGTGAACTTAGTTCCTATAGAACTTCTTGGAATGTGGAGAAGAGGTAAATTCTAGATGGTGAAAAACCACCAAATGCCTGCTCCTGAGAATCTATGAGGATTGATATGACCTAGTGAACCACAAACTACTTACTTGGCATATAGTTACCACTAAATAAATGTTAACTTGCATTATTAATATTATTCTCACTGAGCTCACACCTCCTACATTCCTACTCTTATTGACTTAAAATTTCAGGAAGAAAGCTAGACTGCAGACTTGCTTGAGTTCAGTCTGTTCTGACAGAAAGATAATATCTTTGTATTTTTTTCCCAAGGACACTTTTGACATTAGGATTTTGATGGCTCGATCAGTCAAGTACACAGTAAATTTTATGGATGCAGAAGAGGCAGATCTCCACAGGTTTGTACCACTCACTGTTGCTCCAGATTTTTAAATCTCCTCCCTGCCTCTCCCATCCCCAAAACTTCAGTGCAGAGATTTGCTGTCACACAGGCAAGAGACTGTAGGTATGAGTCACACGCAGTAATGGTACATTAGCACTAGTTTCAGTTATTGCAAAATAAGAATAACGATGTCTCCTTCATGGGATTGTTTTTAAGAATTGAATGAGAAAAATTAAACAGTTATAGCTTGTACTTATGCAACTAGACACTGTTCTGAGCCCTCAATACATGACTCCTTTAATTTTCACAGCAATCTTGTGCAAATGGCACTATTGTTATGTCCGTTTTACCAATGACAGATATGAGGTAGAGTGGAACAATAAATTGCATAAGGTCACAGAATTAATGTGTCGTTAGAGCTAGGATTCGAACTGTTCAGAAAGCTCTGGAGTGTGGGCTCTTTAACCACTCACCCAGGCCGATGCCCATGATAGCAACAAGAAGAGCTGCAGTTGGTTGAGTGCCTATGATGTGCTAGGTACTGTGCTAAATCTTCTATAGGCACTGGCTCATTTTGCTCAATAAATGTTAGTTTTTGCCCTATTTCCTTCCACTTAAAGAGGCTGTGCCCTGAAGACTCATTTCTCAGATGGTGATGTGAATCCTCTTTAAATACCCTTCACTAGTGTTTTGGTCCTTTTCTCCCTGAAAAGATCGATATTCTTATTTTTTTTTCTGGGTAAGAAATTTAAGACCCAGCCAGGTAATAATTTGCTTAGACCAATGAGGAAGCAGGGTCAGATTTTATAAAATGCGGCTGGCTGACTCAAAGCATCATCTATCTTGAGATCACACGGGACAAAGGGAGTCAGTCAGGATGGGGCAGAACATGCTGCAGAAACAAAAAAATCCTTTAGTGGCTTATAATAGCTCAGGTGTCTTTCTCTCCTACACTGTTTACCCATCATGCACCAGCTTCAGCTCTGCCAGCATCCCCCACCCTAGCAGTCGAGCTGGCGCCACCCTGTGTTTGCAATGATGCCAGTTACTGAGGAAAAGGGAGGAGTGTGGCAAAGTATGTCCTGGAAATAAAAGTTTGTGCTTGGAAACAACACATCTCACTTCTGTTCACATTTAATTGGTCAAAGTAAATCACATGGCCATACCCAGACTCAAGTGAGTGGATAAATGCAAATCTACTGCATGCTTGGAGCAAGAGAACCGACCGGTGTGACGGATTTATTACAACTGTAATAAATCCGTCAGGTCCAGACAAAAGTGGGCTTCAGTGGGCTTCAGTTACTGCTCTGGGCTACTCCCTGTGTCCCAAGGACTTTTTTGAAAACTCTGTGTTGGTTTTCCAGACATGTCATCTATTCATTTGTGCACTGATTCAACAAATATGTAGTGAGATCCTCCACATGCCTGCTACTGTGCTGGTGAATGCACAGATACAAAAGGTAATTTTTTAAAGTCTGCTCTTGAGGAGCTCATTGTCCATTTAGAGGAATGCCAAAAATGGGAGGTAGTAATTACCATGCAATACCAACGAATTCAATGTGACAAGTACAATGGAAACCTCTAGAAATGTGCTGACTGGTGCAGAGTGGAAGAAGTTAGCCCTTTGGGGACAGCATAAATGCAAATAATGTACAACTTCCTTTGAAAATTTCTAGAGTGCTCACTAAAATAAGTCTCCTTGGAGTGATACAGCTCAGCAATGGGCCCATAATATCACCTTTTAATTGCAGAACACTTTAAAGTTTGCAAAACACTTTAAAGCACTCATATACATCTTTTGTCTCACTTGACATGCACAAGAACTTTGTGAGGAGAGTAGGAGAGATATTTTGTCACCCTTCAGCAAATGAAAAAACTGAGGCTCCGAGAATTTAAGTGGCTTTCCAAGGTTCCACAGCTAAAGCAGATCCAGCATCTAGATTTTGTTGTATCTTTTCCAATATTCTTTCTAGTCCCGTTAATTCTGTATTTGGCATAAACCAAGGCCACTTCTGCATGACTCTTGCTGTAGCCTGCTGGGAAGTTAAATTGCCTCCCTGAAAAAATAAATGAATGATGGCAATGACCTTCTGAGCTGGATGTTTCCCCCTTGTGATTCACTTCATTTTCCAGAGGCCTGAACAGCCTTTCCATTTGAAGAGCTGCGCAGGGGAGCTGCCACAGCCCATGTTTTGGCTTCTTGAAGGATGGTTGTCACCTGTGTCCTGGGTTGTCCCCCTCTTCAGTAGTCAGGCCCAGCTCCAGATGCCCCACTCGGCCAGTTGTGTTCTGGGTCATTGCAGCCCAGTAATGTGTTGCTTGCAGAATTTTGTCAAGGAGCAACAATCTCAAATGTGCAGCATCATCCAAGCATTAATCACACTGAGAGAATCTTGCTGCCAAAGCAAAAGCACTTAAGAGGAAAAGAAAATATTCCGTGAATGTTCCCACTCATATCACAAGTGTATCTAGGATGTGTGTCAACAAGAAAATCTTCCTTCTTTCTTTCTTGTTTGTTTCCTTGCAGAGTAGAAATCCCCTTTGTGTTTCAGATGACACAGTCGGGCCTGGTCCACGGCCTGGCGTTCTGGTTTGATGTGGCCTTCGTCGGATCTGTGTATGTATCGCCCCTTTCTTCACCTGCTCTGTCCCATGCTGTCCTCTACTATTGTGATTATAGCTTTAACATTTTTAAAAATTAATTTCAACAGTAATGATACTGGTTTCTGTGCATTTCAAGAAATATAAACACTGATATTAGTATGGCTTTTAGATTTTATGGTGACATGACAATGTGACTGTTTTTCATGGTGTCATACCAACTCTGGCTAAAATAAAGGAGTGAGAGAGGGTCTGTGCTTTATCAACCCTCTGGCTTTTTTCCAGAATAGATGGGGAGGGGCAACCCCTGCCTTGATGTCCATCACACCTGCCTATAGAACCTCTGGTGCCTGGGTGAATACCTCAAGTCATACTTTCTCCCATTCACAGCCTTCAGTTTCACAGCCTAGAATCTTTTTTTTCATGATCAGGAAAGCTGGTGTACAAATGCTAATTGCAACACTAGGTAACTTGTCCATTCCTGCATTCCTTTTCCCTCTTGCAAAGGTTTGAAAGTTGCAGGGCTTTCAAAGAAGAGAAAGACCACCTACAAGTTGACTGGTAAGGTTTGGGGTTCCTTGTAAAGGCTTTGCCACTCCCATGTCCCCAAATCTTTGCTCTCCTAACCTCCCTGCTCTCTTCCCGGCTTAGGAAAAGAGGTTTGAGCTGAGTGACATGACCAGGCAAAAAGAAAATTTTGCAGTACACTCTCCTCCACCCCTTATACAAACATCCAGGCTCGCCTCTGCACCTGCTGAGAAAGAAGTGCTCACAGGCTGGTGATAGAGCTCAGGTGTTTTGGAGGCTCGAGGGGAAGAGAGGATTCCTGGAAGCCTTGTCTGGGCTGACAGAAAGAAAATGATGTGCAAGTCATTCGTACACCACACAAGCATGTTTGTGCAAAGAACCATGCATTTTTCCCCTCAGGCTTTCCCTCAGTATATCCCAAGGAAATGAATTTGTTCCTGCAAAAAGTTAAAGAGATATTCATAAAGTGGCCTGCTTCCAGGGAGAACTTTCTTTGAAGTTAAATGCGTTATCTTAAAAAGCTGCAGAAAATGTGCATTCTACTACATAATGTAGATGAGTATATTTTGATATAAAAGTGGTTTTCATTACTTAGTAAATTATATAAAATTTCCCCCCAAATCTTCAGGCTTACTGTGCACATTTCTCCCTGATGCCAACAACCACTGCCTCACTCCAGGGCAGGTGAGCTCGGTGTTCAGGGCACAGCAGGTGTTCTCACTTCTCACCTGCAATGAAGAACCTCCATCTAAACATGCCCACCTGCACAGACCTGCGCAGGGCATCGAAGCTGGAAGGGCAGTGGAGGCTGTGGGCCCCAGTAGTTTTTCTTGCTTCTGGAAGCTTCATCAGGACCTCTGAACAGTTTGGCCTGAGACTATCAGAGGCCAGACTTCAAACTTCTCAAACAAATCAGTTTCCAGTTTAACTCTGTCACTGGGCTTCTCATGAACTTTGATTCAGAAAGACAGGTTGACAGCGTGGCCAAGCCCATGGGTGGGGAGCCTGGCTCTCCAGCTGTCCTCTGTGTGACGTTGGCAAGTGCTTCAACCTCTCTGGCCTTACTCCATAGGGTTGCTGTGTAGATTTAATGGTCTGATATACATAACGTTTGTGGTACAGTACCCAGCACTTAATAACTGCTCAATAAATTGAAATGTCATTATTTTAAAAGGGTCCTATGAGTCAAAACCAATGAAAATTATTTATCAATCTAAGTCGCCAGCCCAAGACATTAACACAGGCCTGGCATGTACTTGGATTTCAATTCTTTTTCTCGCCTGCAGGGTCACAGTTTGGCTGTCAACGGCACCCACTGAGCCTCTGACCCACTGGTATCAGGTGCGGTGCCTTCTTCAGACTCCTCTCTTTGCCAAGGAAGGAGAAACCCTCTCAGGGAAAGTGCTGTTTGTGGCCAATAAACGGTAAGCAGGAGAGTCCAGCCGCACGCCTCCACCTCTGCTTATCTCGCACTGCTGCACTGGGGCAGGAGGAAGCTGGCGGGCCCCTGAGGCCCCAGCCCCAAGACTTGGACAGCACACTTTCCAATGGCCTGGCTGAGCTTGCACAGGTACTCTCGGCCACAAAGCTGGCAGGGCAGGTGTCACCTTAGCACTGAGTGTGTCAAGGAAGAGGAGTTTCAGGTAACTCAAGGACAGTGTTGTCCACCTGACCGAGGAGGAAAGAAGGAAATCCATCAGCTCATGGGAGCTCTTGCCAAAGGCTTGAATTACCAGGCACTTTATACCCCACATCAGCTTCCTGGCCTTACTTACAGCTGTCCAGCCACTCACCCCCAAATTTAGTACAATAAAGCCAATCTGCGTTGCAGGAGCGGTGTACGGTGTGTGTCAGGTGGGACTGGCGGCTTCCCTCTGCTAATGGATTTCATGATGTCTCTGCAGCCAGTTACTTTGATTTATCTCATTTTTAAAATGCTCTATTTTCTTTTGCCTTGTTGGAGCTTCTTCTGGGTACATTAGAGGAGGGAGAGATAGCAAAGTGAGTCAAGGACTCAGGATAGTAAGGGTACTCAGAGGTCATCTCATTCAACTTTCTTTCCTCCCTACCTCCCATTCTTCCTTGGGCCTGTGCTTGCACACTCCAGTGACAGAAGGCTCACCACCTCACAAATCAAACCTTTTTTTTTCGTCTTTATCTGTTTAATTACAAAAATAACATGCTTCTACGTAAAGCAAAACTACAAAAGTGTCTAGAGTCCACCTACACTTTCATCCTTCACCCCACTCCTCAGATGTGACTGACCCCTTGTCCATGTTCTCTCAGGTGGTTTTCTGTGCATTTGCCAACAAATAACATTGTTGTGGGTTTGTTGTTGTTTTATACGGAGATTACACTGGAAGTCTGAAACTAAGGTTTTCACTTAGTAGCAAATCCTGAATCTATACAGACAGATTTATTTTGTTCTTTTAATAGATGCATAATTGTCTAGTGCATGGATATACCATAACATTTTTTTAGGACTTCCTGATTTAGGTTCCTTTTTTTTTTTTTTTTGCTGTTGCAAAAGTCTGCACTAAACATTCTTGAACATGTAGCTTGCACAGTGACATGAATATTTCTACATGAGATGCCTAGAAATGTAGAAATAGAAATACTGGATCAAAGAGTATGTACATGTTACAGTCTAGTAGACACTACCTTTCAAAATATACTTTGAAATGTTTCATTAAAACCAAATATGTCCTATATATTTGTCAACATACGTGTCGGACAACATACATGTTCTGATAAGTGCTGGGCACAGAGTGACAGTGGCCACTGAAGTTTTGAGTATATATTTTATAATAATGTAAATAAAGTTTAAATTAAGTCTAGGGGCCATTTTACTTGACTATTTAGTCAATTAAAACTAAAAAAAATGTGTATTTTTCTATGATCTAATTTTAAGTTAGATTAGTGTACAGGTGATTTTTGTCAGCTGTGGTTCAAGTTTTTGTGTTTACTCCACCCATGCATTTATCATGCTGTTTTTGGATCCTTACTAGAGCCAATGGTTTATTTCATTTATTTGTAAAAGTTCTATTGTGTGTCATATTAGTGAGTCTACCATTTTGTACCATTTGCAAATTTAATAAGTGGATTTTTATTCAAAACTTATTAAGCAGAAAGAGGCCAAAGAGGTGCTCCTTCTTCGACATTTGCAGGGCCTAACCTATGCCCCTTGAATTTGGTTGTGGAAGGAGCCCAAAATCTACCCACCTGTACTCACATCCAGCCACATGCTTCCATCCAGTCCAGGAATAACTATGATACAACCTTTGTTGAATGTGATCTCAAGATAAGCGGAATACCTGGTTTCACCCTCATGGCCAAGTCCAGTAACCTTACCAAAAAGGGAAACGAAGCTAACTGAACACAGTTCTTACTAGTTTTTATGAAACTTATTTTTCCCTGTTTTATACCTAAATGGCAGCATTCTATATCTGTTTTCTACATCTTAATTTTCTCACTTAATAATACATCTCCAAGATATTTCCGTATGAGCACATGGAGATATTCCCTTCTCTTCCTTGACTTTTACATGTGCCAAGGCATCATTTATCTGATGTGTGTTTTACATCTGTTGGTATATTTTGCTACTCTTTTTCTACCTTTTTCTAACAATATCTTTGTATTAACGTTGCGGTTGTTCATCATGCAATTAAAGGAACACTTCTGGACAGCAGTTTGCAAGAAAGAAGTTCCTGTGTTGGGGAAAGGTGTGGTCATCTGCATGCTGTGTGTTTTTCTCACTCGCACTCTCCTCCTGTGCTGCTACAGAGTCACTCTGGTTCCTGCAAACATGGCTTCTCGGTGCGTCTTTAGGTAGTTCCGCACCATCTGGTTCCAAAAGCGTTTCTGCCTGAGTCTTACTCCCCCTACATCATGCACAAGGCATTAAAAACAAGGAATAAAGCTTTTCCTTTTTGGTTTCTAAGTTTTGTTCAAGAACTCATACAAAATGTGCTGTATAAGTGCATTTTTATCCTCATTTTCCTTCTCTTCTTCATCCTGGTTAGTCCGGAAGTCACACAGTTTGTGACTCTCTTTGCTGTTAGCAACTATGTAGAGCCAATCACAAAGACTATTCTTCTTCAAATATTTTTGGTGAGATATTTCACATACAGGACCTTTTGGGAACAGGCACCTGAGAAGTTACAGTGATCTCACTCTTGCTTCTTTCAATGGTAAAACCCCTCTAACAACGTTCTCAGCTTTTTCATTCATGCTGATGCTCTCCTGAAGAAACAGCTTAAAATTGGCAGCATCCCTGACTCTATCTTCCACAGGGTGGGTGCATTCAAGGGTAAGCTTCAGAACCTGCGTTTTGTTCGCCCCCCTTTGCCATAAGCTTTTTCACAGGTGCCGTGGTGGCAGCAGAGGCAGAAAAAGAGGAATACAGCTTTTGCATTTCAGAAAATGCCCTTTGCTTTTGGGTAGTTTGTTATTGCAAGCATCTTCTGTGATGAGCTGTCCCCGGGCTCTCCTGTGCCTCTTTGCACATTTGTATTTTTTTCATGTGGCTTACAACCAGCCGCCAGCGCTCCTGCAGCACTTGCACAGGAGGTGGAGACAGCAGATTCCATCTTCCCCCTGACTGTACAGAAAAGGAAGCCTGCGGTCCACGGGATTTTTCTCTTCTCCCTGCTTTTTGGATGGATTCCAGGGAGAAAAGTGGAAAATGCTGATTTACGCCATGTTCTTCATGGAAGTTACCACTTTCTTCTAAAATTCTTATAAGCCATCTGCTTAATATCCAGTTCTAAAAAAAAAAAATGTGTTCAGTAGCAGTACCCAACATCTGCCTGAGTTTTGGACTTTGCCGTTTCTACTCTGTGCAAAGCAGTAGAACAATCTTTTGCTTTCAAATGTTTATGTTTTAAAGTACCTTAGGGTGTAATTAGGTAAATAAATTTAAATCACCTCATTCTTTCATTACCTTTTTGTAACATGTCTTGGGTTGCACTGTTAGCAATCCACCCTTTTTGCCTTCGTTTCCCGAACAGGCAAGAAGGGAGCAAACTGTTTCCCCCCACGCCTGCCTGTGACCCCCAGGCTCCTGTGGCCCCCCAGGCGTCGCACCACTGTTGGCTTGCTGTTGTTTGCCTATGTGTGAGCTCCCAAAAGAGGGCCTGAGTCTTATTCTGTGGTGTATCCCACTTCCCTTCATACAACACATTCCAGAGACTTCGCAGTGTCATGGAATGACCTCCTGAGTGAAGGACTAGTAAGCTCATGATCCCTCTCTTATTGAGAATTTAGTCCGGTGCAATTGAAAGAAGACCCTAAAATTTCGTGTGTGTGCACTCCTTTGCAGGAGGAAGAAAGGGGCGGAGGGAGAGAGGGAGGAAGTTCTTTATCTCACTAGAGAGAATGAGGCCAGGTTTTGGAGTCTCTCATGTATCCCGTTCTGTGTAGTCTCTAGGACTACCCCCCCCCTCCAGTTTCCTGACCTCATCATCTGTAAAGTAGAATTTATAATAATTATCTTAGGAGGCTTTTGCAAATATTACAGAAGAGAAAATAGTATAGTAATACATAGTAGGTCCACGGTAAATCTTAGTTCCACTTATCTCCTCTTCCCTTATTCTCTTTCTTACTCTCATTCTAACTCATCAGACTTTTGTTTTACAGTTAATGTTTTCCTTGGTATTTTTTACAGACCTCAGCACTTTCTGAATGTCAGTGCTTTCACACTATTTTTTCAGTAAGGTGCTATGTCTTTGTTCAGCCCTGGATAGAATCTGCCTTCCCTTACTGTCAAATAATCATCTAAACTCTGACCTCCTGGGAGAACTCTCGCTGCAACCACACAGGTGTGACAATGACTGACCTTTTCTTCCCCGCCAGGACCATTTATGATTGTATTGTTAGCATTTTATTTTTGACAGTCTCCCATCATTCTTGAGCTGCCACTCATTTTATTGCTGTGGACAATAAAATGGAACCTATCTTTTTTATGAACTTTATGAAATTTATATCTCTAAAGGTCACAGATATGGCCCCCAAAGCTTTTTGATCAGGTGCACCTATAAGTAAGAACACTTCATGTATGTGCCTCCCAAGTATATTAATATTTCTCTTTTAATTATTTATATATTCTACAATAATAATAATAGACAGCAGCAAACTAAGGTCTCTATATATAGATAAACAGATATACAAGGTCTGTCCAAAAGGTACCCCACCATGTAATGTGAAAAATAGAGATTTGTTGAAGAAGATTCAAGATACAAAAAACACTGTACCTGGGACAATGATGCCTCAGTCCCCTTCAAAGCAGGCACTTTGGGACCTCACACAGTTCTCCCAATCATCATCAGCAGCCCTGTCATATTTTCCTGAATCTCATCGATAGTCTGAAATCTCTTCCCTTTCAGAGGTGATTTTAGTTCTGGAAAAAGCTAGAAGTCACAGGGCA